TTAGACTTAGAGCATGATATGGATTTATACGTTTGTAATCTTCTGACAAGCCTTCACAAACTTTAAGTGAGTCTAAAAACTTTTTTAAAATATACATGATGCTCTCCATCAATCTCATAATAATAATACTCAGAAAATACTCATAGTAGTTTCATCAGATATGTTTACACACCATTGTCGTGGCTAATAGTTATTCAGTCGAAGTTAAGAACATCTCCGCGTCCAACTTAAAAACACAACATTGTCGTGGCTAATAGTTATTCAGTCGAAGTTAGGAACATCACCGCGTCCAACTTAAAAAAGCTTGCACGCGCCATGTTTAAACACTATATAATGCTGATCCCTATCTGTAATTTAAGCTTGGCTTGCACAGAAGTGTGATCAGGCCAATGTTCCGACGTACACGGAGCCGCATGTGGCTCACGGAAACATTCCATTCCACATTTCTTCCAAAAAGGTAAAGTAAAATATTAGAAACGAGAAGTAGACGAAATCTTCTTGTCTTCGTTTGAGGGCCCTTTCATGTTGTCCCTCCTAAATAACGTCGACGTTATTGGCGAATGGAATCAAATTTTGATTGTTGACAAGGTTGGGATGTACCTTTAGAATTATTACCGGTAAACACGATCTGTATAATTAGAAATGCCAGTTAAAGGAACTTTTATTTATACAGTGATTTCCCGTGAGTATAATAGGGTATTATAATTTATAATAAACTTCTAGTTTGCTGTTAGAATAATCCTATTGGTGACTCTGTCAGCGCACTATGTCGGTTTTCCTCCTTGCTTACTTCGTCGGTCTTCCCACATCTCGAATCGATGGCTCCTAAATTTGTGTTAAATTAACATTCGAAAGACTTAGGCGTAGAGTCTGCGCTGTAGACATTAAATTAAGTCGACTTAAGTGCTCGAACACGTGAATTTTGTTGAATTTGCTTCGTAGATTTACTGATACCTCATTTACATGGTAGTGCAGCTACATTATAAACACCAATCTGTTTCCGAAAATAATGAAATGAAAGTAAATTATCATTCCTTTTTCAATTAAATGGAACACACATAAAGAAAACGTTGACGCTTTCTTCGAATTTTATTTCAATTCGTTTAAAAACTCTAAGTCTAAACCGTTAAGGTCCATATAAAGAATAAAAAACGAATGAATAAATAAATACAAATTAAAAATGCACAGTTAATATTAATATCATGATAAAAATTGCAATAATGGCAAAATTACAGCTAAAACGAATTAAACTAGTTTATTATAATAAAAACAAGTTCAATCAAATTCCTTCGACCTAACTAGTTTATGAATCATCGAGATGAAAGACAATTCGCTCGGAATATATTTATTTTGCGGATGGTGGAGTTCTAGAAAGATCAACGCGTGTTTTTCTTTCCTTGAAACAAAACATGAATCCGGACTCACGTGACTGAAGGAACAGTAGGACCCGTGTTTAATACGAACCAACTTTTCATACAGATCGGCCCATCCGTGTAGAAGCTACACAGAGACTGAGAAAAAGAGTCTTTTCGAGGGGAGATCCAAAAATGTCTGAATCAATAAGAAAATAGTTGTTTCATTTTTTCTCATATTATATAAACCTTGGTAGTTTTAGGTTTTGAGCATATATTCAATTTATTTCGTTTATTACACCGGACCATCGTGGCCCATATCAAATAACACAAACAAAACAATTATATTATATATAGAGCACTAATATCAGGACTCCTTGCACAAATGCACACGTTTATAACTCACTGACAAATGTCACAATTATACAGCCAATTTGCGGTGGTTTTCAAAGTTTCAGGAACGTGTTCTCTTTTGTATCGAATTCAGTAACAATAGGTTCCCTCATTTCAGAAAATATATTCATGGCACTACGTAAGTTGCATTAGCATGACACGCTTTACATAAATGTGATACATACTTTTGAAACGACCAATAAGACGCCAGTAGTCGGCTGTGGTGCACGGAACCCATTTTCGGCGGTCGTCTAACCTCTAAAACAAAAAATGAGAACGGGTTCGCTGATTTTCCCGACATGGAATAATGGGTTCGAGAGATTTGTGCTGAACCCCTGAATTTCACCACTGGGAAAATCTTTCCATAGTTTTAATATCATAAATAATAATCGTATATCCCCAAAAACATATTGTGACCCTTTGGTGCATGCACCTTCGAGAGCGAATTGCTGTAACAAAGCAACTTACGAAAAATGAACATATTGATTGCCAACAGCTTGGAACGGAATAACTATATAAGAAGGTCACATATTGTTGGAATGAAATTTAGCAGGTTTCCACATCAATTTGTATCCCTGAAGAATGATATGTTTTTGCGTTAATGCGCTACTTGGTGGGTGACTTTGTGACTTGCGGGTCAATGATTCAGTGGCTTTAATGAATATATCTACCTTTAGAATAAAGCTTCGGTTTAATTTTGGATTGCACAAGCACAATAACTTTGAAGCCCCATTGAAGTAGGTCATTTCGTTACAATGTATTTCATTGTGGGATTTCCACTGTATCAAGAGTTCAGAAACTTAGGAATTCAGTTGACGTAATTTCCTGGATCCCGCTTTCAATGAATTCGAAATACTTCATTGTTACCATACAATCTTGCTGTTTAGAGTGACAGACTATTTTAAGCATATGGAATTTATGATATTCAGTTTTGATGTTTGTGCGCTCGAGGTATACGAATATATCGATTGAACAAGTTTAGAATAAGTTTTGAGAGGATTTTGTCAGAAACTGTTATGGTTTGTTATATTGTTATTGTGTTAGATTTTATGTTTCCCGGACATTACCGTTATCTGCAAACCATTTTACGTATCATGCATAGACTTAGCAGGGTTTTGGTGCAATGGAGCCCGCGGTAAGGTGAGATTGGCTAATATTTACTGAGCCTCACAAGGAATTTATAAAAATATAAAAAAAATTATTGTTACTTGCCGATTCTAAAACTTCTCGTTTTAATGACTCGAATGTATTTGCTGCTTCGGTTTTAAAAAATATTCAGTGTTTTAATAAGTAAAGGAATAGGCCACGGAGCCTCTAGGTTTTCTCTCGTGGAGGCTGGGGACTTTGAGAACCTACAGGTTAAAGCAATATGTCGCCCCCTTTCCTTAATTTTGGAACACTTCATTCTCTATTATTATTATGCATATATTTTATTTATTCAGTCAGTGGTGGATCTTATGTTATTGCTATGTGCTAGTCGCACTCCCATTTTTTTTTCATTTGGAAGAGTCTATTATGTGTTTATGAATAAGCAGTATGATAATGATTTAAAACTAAAGAATATTAATAATACTACACAGAACTCCAAACGAATTTTTTTCCCAAAATGGCAAAGTTCTTTTCTGGGGAAGAATTAAACTCAGACTGAAAAACGTTGGGTTAAAGTAAGCACACGAAGTGAAATTCATGCGAGTGGATATTTCTCAGACGCGAATTATTTTTCGTTAAGACACCCGCGTGTGAGAGACTTAGGAGCCGTTTCAAGTGGTGTCTGAAATCTTCCGATCTCATTAGATAAGTGTAGATGGAACCGCACTTTTTTGCTCTTGTATGACTTCTATGATGAAAGTAACCACGTACTCACTCGCTGAAAAGTGATATATTGTATAGTTGATAGAAAATACTGTAAGCATGAGACATCAGCAGAACGTTGTATCTACATTGTACATAATGAATATTTACGGCCGAATAAAAAATGTAACGAATTATATCTTGAATGTTTCAAGAAAATTAGGTCATTTCTATACAAAATAAATCTATCGTACGCGGCGACACAAGAGAATCGCTGTCGGCCGGTATTGATTTGAATGGTTATGTTGACTATTATGTTCTGAAACTCGACACCAACAGCGGAAATTATTTATGCCAACGTTTATCCGTTCATTACTTTCTATTGGACTAAGATTATTTTTGTGTTTTTGTGAACTGGCTTTCTAAGATAATCACATAAACATGTTGCAATTTGGGGTATTGAGAAAGACTGGTATTAGTTTTAAAAAAAAAACATAAAAGCCAAGTTTATTAATCCTATCAGATAATTTTGACTTTTTTAACCTGTAGAACAAAAATGTATCTTTGTTTTGCATAAGAAACATTACATGAATAAATCCATATTTATCCTATATCTTCAACTTTGGTTTTCTACTAACTTAAGTATAGACAATATTGGACTGCTCCCTTTCTCATAAAAAATCCATATCCAACTATCCATAGTGGGGTTTTTTCGAACTATACTTTGTATTCATAAAAATTGTCAACGGAATTTTATTTGATTGCAAATTAATTTTCAGATAATACCGTGTTTCTCCAAAAATAGGACTGGGTTTTATTCCAATTTTCTTCCGAAAAATAACAATAGGGCTTATTTTCGGAAGATGAATTACTAAATATTCTAATATACAAAATATAAAAACCGATATCTATTTACTCGTGAAAAACACGTGTTTATTCAAAAAAACTGCAAACATATATTTATCACTCATTTAAAACGTGTAAGAGAGATTTCATGCTATCGACAAGGTCAAAAAAAATTTGGCTTTATTGACTAGGTCTTATTAGGGAGGGCTTATATTAAAATCAATTCAAAAATTCAAGCTAGGTCTTATTTTCAGAGTAGGGTTTATTTTCGGAGAAACACGGTAGTTTTAAGAAATCAGCTATGTTTTAATTTTCAGATAATATATCACTAGCCAATTAACCACAGGCAATTTGAATATCAGGTATTTTAAAAAATTTGGTTGGCACAGGATGATAGTTGCAACTTGTTAAACAGTTTTAGTCGGTCAGATCTTTCAGAAATGGTCAGACAAAAATATACATAATTTGACTAACAGCAAAGTTTTGGAGGTCCGATGCAGACAAACTAACAAACCCATTAGATTCTGAATTGATAATTGTCATAATTAAGGTACACTTTACTTTATCTTTTTATTATTCAATTTTGAACTAGGAAATATATTGTATATCAAATAATACTAACGACTCCCTTATTGGAAAATAAAAACGTTTTTACTCGGATATAGTATATATAATAGGATTTCGAATTCAAAGGGATTTACACTTCAAGTGAACATATTATGGCTGAATCTTCGGGAAAAGGTATGCTTAATGTTGATTCGAGATATCCCGTATTAATACATATACTAAACAAGTCGGATCTAAGCGGATAATTGAGGCGGTAAATGGCACTCATAACGACATCGTGCTGCAATGACCGTCTCACCGAAGCTGCCAGTTCATTATAGCCCTGCGCGTATTTTCTAATGGGCGATGTACTGCGGCTAATATTTAATCATGGCCATTAAAATTCTTAAGGCTTCCCCAGTTTATGGATTATCGAGATTAAAAACTGCTTGCACGAAAGAGTATTGTCTTTCGCAGAGGGTAGCGTCCTCGGAATTTTAATTTTAAAATTAGTTTAAAAGATAATAACAAATTAGGAGAAAACAAGAAATTTCCCAACGATCGGAGAGTGTTTTCGCTGCTGCCATGGAAACGAAACATCAATCCGAACTTTCTGCGAAAAGCACATTACAAGGGTGCCATAACCCACGTGATATTCAGATATTAATTCGTACTCTTTGGAAAAGTATATTTTATATTCGAGCTTACCTATACCGATCTGTTTTAACATTTCTGAGAATATCTCGGACTCTAAAGCAGAGGTTCCTAATCGCCATTGGAATATAATTCAATAGAAAATTTTAAATTCATGGAAATTTAAGTTTAGTGTCTATTTAATAGGACTACATTCATTCGATTTCTGAGTCATTCTGCTCATTATCAATTTCCTGTCCATCGACTCATCGACTGTTTCAAATAATTTAGCTATTTCCGATAATTCCTGAACCATTTCCCTAATTTTCATGTTGCATGCACATCTAGTGTACATATAGCTTATACCAATGGCAGGCAACTCATTTTTCTGGCCCTATCGTAATAAAAAATTCTGGGTTAGGCGGCCCCTATCCCAGACCTGCATACCAAGTTTCACCCGAATCGACCGGCCAATTTCCCGGGAAAGCTAGAATTGGAATCGTGCTATAGAATGTAATATGATAACAAGCACAGCGAATGTTGCATGCACATCTAGTGTACATATAGCTTATACCAATGGAAGGAAACTCATTTTTCTGGCCCTATCGTAATAAAAAATTCTGGGTTAGGCGGCCCCTATCCCAGACCTGCATACCAAGTTTCAACCGAATCGACCGGCCAATTTCCCGGGAAAGCTAGAATTGGAATCGTGCTATAGAATGTAATATTATAACAAGCACAGCGAATACTGACTCTGTCTGTATACACATCATTGTGATACCAAGTTACCTCACTATCATGGTAAAACCTCGTCGGTAAGGACATAATGTTACACACGAAATGTAATCCTATATAGCAGAGGTTTCAAAAAGGTGAACCGCGGAAACTAACGGAGTTGTGTTAAACATAACTAAAATATGATTGATTATTCTAAATATCGTATTATTATACATGCTTTATTGTTTCTTATATCAAATGATGTGTATATGAATCAATCAAGTTCATTTTACCTTTCTATGTCGTTTACTTTCTGCTATGCAGTGTTTGCCTCTATTGTTACTTACGTAACAAAGGAGATAGAAACTATTTGCTTCAACTTCGCGAGTTGAAAATTTATTGATATTTTGCCTCAATTAGCAATCACAAAATTTAGTTTTTTTCAATAGCAGCATTCTTTTTTTCGTGTAAGTGCGCCGTGAGTTTTTTCCCTGATAATTTGGCTCCGCAAGAACTAAACTTTTGGTAATCGTTGTTGCATGCATGTCTCATGAGTTCACTTATCCTCAAATAAATGTGTGCTGTTCCATGTGTGGACGTTCCCATGGAAATCACATTCCAATGGACAAACCTGCCAATCGCGGTCTGCATAACTTTTTTGTCTGTCTGCGAAAGAATGCGTTATTTTGTTGTCATTGTAACCGCTTACTTATATTTGAATGAATTACAGAATGCTAGTTTTGTATAATGAATCGAAAACGGATGTTTGTTACTACGAATTGATTGATTTGTATAAATATTTTCAAATTATTGGCATGGGTTCGTGTTAATTTCAAAGCAAATTAATAGAATCCTGTACACATATGTCTCTTATCGAATTTGGTAACGAACTGCTACACTAGGGATTGAAACTTTGTATTCTTTTTTCTTAGATCCGTCTAGAGGTGTTAACGTCGAAGGAGGAGATTTCCGTCACTCAGTTTTTGGTGATAAGATAATCAATAAGACTGTGATCAACCAATATGATCAAGGTATTTAAATAAAGAAACAGAACCGTTGTGTTGTAGTACATCACACATTACTATTACGGATTTTAACTATGAATTGTTATGGCTGTAACATTTTTTTGTTATAAAAATTTGATTTCGATAAAAATGCACTGGCATTAGTTGAAACATTAAAAAAACCTGCGGTTAAATTCTTTTCCTAAAACTTTTTTGAGTAATTTGTAACTCCTATTATGCAAGAATTTATTTACAATTTTGGTTAAAATAAATACTGATACTTTACTCATCCAATAACTGATGTCGGGTTTTCATTTCTCTAAAATACCGTTAATTGATTGTAATTCAACTAAAAGTCATGTAAAATTATATCGTCCAACAAAAATTCACCTAATGATTAAATATTATCACCTTCAATTGAGTTTTTCGATTGAAATACGAAATCTTTTTGTTAAACCAGTTTTTTGTCAGACATGAGAATACTCTACCGTATTTTATTTTTATTTTATAAGGCGAAACGTATTATAAAGCGCATTGTTAATAAATTGCTTAGATCTATTTTTTCATATGTAGGAGTAAGACTCATCGGGATATAATACGCAATACCGGTATTTATTTTTGAGGCAATTAAGCTCAAAGCACTACCCGATTCAATGATCCATACATTATGCGTCCTGGCTTATGGGGCGCACGACTGATTTTTGGGGAAAATATTTAAAGTGCGCATTATGGCCCATAAACACGCTATAAGAAATGCAATTTTCAGCAATGTGCGATCGAGATTTTTCAATCCACGAGTTGAACTTAAGAATCGATATATTCGTGTCAGATTAATATCGCTGCAAACATTAGTAACACGATTACTTTTCGTTAATACTGTTAGGATTCTCAATAATCAATATTTCATTTTTAGGTGACCGTGAATAATTTGTGATTCCATTGTGAACAATAGGTGTTTTCAGCGTGTTTAAAATATTTAACTACTATTACCTGACTGAGTTATGACCTCACGATTTTGCCAAAAGTGAATTTCACCTGCACTAGCTATTTGCAATTCAATCCCCAAAACAATATAGAATAATCGATTTTTTGGAACACATTTTTTCGATCGATAACTCTGTCAATCATTATTTCATGCTTCTATGTAGAGTTGTTTACTTTAAGTGACTCAGAAATTGGTCGTAGTGACTAGTGATTACCGTATTTTACCGACTACGAGGCGCATCACTCTAACTTCTTTTCTCAAATATCGATCGCGCACCTTATAAGCCTGTGCGCGCAATAGTGTATGGATCAGGAAGTGCTTTATCCTTTTGTGCCTACACTTATAGGCCAGTGAGCCTTTTGATGAACAAAAACCCAATATAAACAATTTCTTGACAGTGTGCAGTATACCCTGGTGGGCCTTATGGCCGTAAAATATGCTCGAACAGCAATTTGAACGATATCTCAGGTACAGGAAGTAAATATAAAAAACATCATAACGTGTATATAACAGCTCGATTTCGACGCCTCTGATGTTTGATTCAATGACGGACGAGTGCCGTGTCCAGCGATGTTGCTTGATATTCGAATAATAAAATTCGTATCTTTTGTACAACCTACGCCACTATTGCAAAAATGTGAGATTTGAAAAAGAAAACCGTATTAAAAAATTTGAATTTTCGGCTCAATTTGCATTCCTAACCCTAACTGTATAATTATTATTTTCTTATTTTAAGCGTTAAGGGTGTTTTTTCGGCGAGGGCTTTGTACGAAAGATCATACATTCCATTCGAATGTCTTAATATTCGACGCGATATCGATTTTTTATTGTGCAAATTTAAGCGTAAATTAGAGCTTGATTGGTATTCAAATTAGGGAAAACATTTGTGCCCCGCATTAAATTTCCCCCGCAATACTAGAAAGGTAGCGGAGGCCTTTTCCGGCCTAAACTAATAGCCCGAACCCCTAAGCAATTAATTCCCTTTAATAATTTGTTGAGTTATTTCTACTGATCCATCGCCTATTTATTTATTTGCCTGTTTGCAATGCTTATATTCCAAACGATGCGTAATTAGAACATTCATTTCTTTTAACAGCTTCCGCCAAAACCTCTGGCTTCGAAGAGATTAAAGGTGAGAGTTAATTGTAAGCCTAATTGATATTTTAGTATAAAGAACTTTTTGGACACGAAGTTTACCTGTGGATCATTTTGTTATTATACACCTTGGGTCCATATATTTGAGCATAGCTCTCTTGTTAAAGGAAATATATAAAACAAATTGTTTATTAGATGTAGTTTTCCGCTCGTGGGGTGCATTGACCATTAAAAATATGTCAAAATTTTTGTTATCTCATACCCCAGTAACTTGTTGATAAATTGGCGCGGAATTATGGTGTTGTTTATGCACAACTGTAAATCGTTTTTTTTTAGTTATATTCTGAGAAAAATTTTATTTTAATCTTGCTTTCAAGTACATTTTATCAATAAATCTAGATAGTTGAGAGATGAAATTATATGGTGCTCCCGTAGTATGCGAATCAAGATGGCGCACATCGGAACGTCGTATTTATACCTGGTTAAGGTTAGGCCATAATTTCAGGTACAAGTACTACGGGAGTCACTTGGCTAGTCCCCGAACTCATAATAGAACTAAAATAAGGAAAATTGGAATGATATTATGGCCTAACCCTAACCTGGTACCCATAGTATGTTCATAGGGCTACAGGACTTCTAATGAGTACTCGACATGCAGCATATATAGCTATGTACATTATAAAGTATGATAAACCTAAATATGCGTCGCTGGTTTTTGCAGCCTGTATTTAATAAATATTCAATGAAATAGTATCGAATCCTTATTTTAATGAAAGAAGTGAAGGATTCTTCGTCGATGAGATTAAAACTGTATTTTGTGATAGTATTCAAAATATATCGCAACCAGCATTTTGTGTGACAAATAAGCGACTATTTTTGTATTGGATTGTTACTTACATGCAGCCTCCAGACGAAACATTGTTTGTTAGTTGGAAGTTTTAAACATTCTTTCTTAAAAAGCGCAACAATTCCTTTATCTTTTTCAAAAAAGTGGCGGCAAATGCGAATATATTTTGTCGTGTTTGGCATGCACCGAGTTTCAATAATTTAGTGCTACGCAAATACATTTCCACAAGTCACTTCCGTTTCTGCGATGCGTTATTTCCCCCAAAAACTGTAGGTTTTGTAGACCAACAAAAGACCATAGTTGGGAGACAATCGTTGCCAATTTAACCGGACTTTTAGAAATCCCAAACAATTATAGTAAAACGTTTTGCAAGTTATGACTTATGATCGTTTGTTTTAGTGTTCACTTTGATCTTTTTTACCAAATATTTTTTATCATGACTCCATTTTATTCGTTTTAATCACGTCTATAGAACGTGTGCGAAATCACTTTTTTTCTATGTTAGTTTTTTATTCTTGATACTTCATTGCATCTGAGTTTTACAAACAATTACCCAGCATATAAGCTAACTGATAATCGTGCAAACTGCATAGCAGCATTTTCTATATTCAATGCCTAAAACAATATAATACAGATCAAAGCTAGTCGTTACGCCAAAACATAGTTCAGATCAAGTATTTTGATCATTATCCTAAGTACCTGTACAATATTATAAACGTGCAGTAAGGTTTCACAGCAATTATAGCATGTTTTTACAACCGATAATTGCTTGTTATGAACCAAGGATACTAGTTTTGTTTACCGAAACATTCCCAAATTGTATTTCAGACAACCGAAGCCAAAATGTGTCGCGCATTACTTATGTGCGTTTTTATTATTACTTGAAAACTTAAGTAAGGGCAAATTTAAATACATTCATAATACCTCCAAATACAAAAGGCAACTGAAAATCATCATAAACATAATTTTGGTCAGATTGACAGACTTTTTTACAGCTTGACGACGGTATGACGCGTGGTTATATGTATGCACTTTTATACACATGTTTATTGAGTCAATGATTTGCATACCTGTGATTGGGGCTTTACACAGCAACTCCAGTTAAGTTGCAGGAAAGATCTATGAACTCAGGGGCGCAGCCGGGAGTTTCAAAGGGGGTTGGTTCAACAAAATTCAAGTTCCTATGCAACGGCCTCTGAAACGGGCTCCGCGATAACGCGTCTGTTAAAACAGTCGATTTTCTTAGTGTAGAAACACTTTTTCTGTGGCGCAATATTAAATCTATGACAATTAGGGGATGTTGAAATGTCTTTCTATATGAATTTAGCCGTGTTAGACCCCGAACCCACACCCAATGGCTGCGCCACTGTAAGAACTTTGGACTAAACTGGGTCTGTAAAGCATGTTTCCCTATTGCAATACAGACTTTTTAATTTTCTATTTTCAGGTCACTTCAACTTGGCCCCGTTCATTGTAGTTTCTGAAGAAACCCCAATCAGCGCTGATTCGCGAATCTTTCGCGCCACCTTGCGTAGTAGTGTTGTTGGTGATCGCGAAATTGCGGTTAAAATTTTACGCGATGGCGAGCGCGAACGACGAGAAGCGCAAATTCATTTTGCTGTTCCTCATCATGTAAATATTGTCGAGCGCTTATTCACTGATACATTCAAGTACCACGGTCAGTCATGTATATACATCGCGATGGAGGAGTGCGATCCGTTGAATCTTCACGATTATATTGAGTTGGAAGTCAAAGAGAAGATTCCATTTGACGCCGATAAATACATATCTTTCACGTTTCAAATTGTTCTGGGGTTAGATTACCTTCACAATCATGATGTTCTGAATCGGGATCTCAAACCGCATAATGTGTTGCTTGCTGGGAATGTGGTGAAGCTTTGCGATTTCGGCCTTTCAAAGATAATGACCAGTGGACGTGAATTCACAGTTCAAAGTATGATTCAGCCTGGAACTGATGGCTGGCGTTCGCCTGAGTTGCTCAAAGGCGCCAAGGATATTGGCAAAGGGTCCGATGTATATTCTCTTGCGTTGATATTCGGTTATGTTTGGTCGCATGGTAAACACGTTTTCGGCGATGACCCCCACTCTTGGAATCACTACATAAAACGCAATGAAAATTTGAACCTCGATCAACTGCAAATACCAGACCGCGATCAAGGAAAGTCTTTGCTAACCTCGATGCTGAAGCAAAACCCCTCTGAACGACCAAAAACTTCGGAAATCTTGAAGCACGATGTCTTCAAACAACACGGAGCGAGTAAAATTGTTTTTAATTCTAAATCCAATCAATAATTATACACGAACTACTTTAATGCATGTCGTTATACTGGTACCAAAGTTCAGCAATAATGGTTGGACAATTGTTAAAGCGAATTGTTAAACAAAAAATATTACATATACATATTTCGACAGTGTTTTTCGTTAAATCACTTTCAATCTAAAGATTTGAAGTGCGCAAAATGGCAGGATTTTTTATTACGCATATCGTGTTTTTTTTGTTTTTGAAGGTTACCTCAAGAGAAACGAATCTGTTGCCATCTATGCTAGTATTACCAATACGTTCCGTGACTCTGCCGGGGAAAACAAAGGGTTAGCAGAAGGTAAATTGATACTATTAATAACTACATAATTTTTCAACATTTAACGGCGAAACTGCCTTACGCTCTAAATTTTTTTTATTAATTATATTGAATTAGGATTGAAGCTATAAATTTGTGACATATAGAGATTTTGAGAAATGTGTATTTTTCTGGGACATGGAATGGCCAGAAGATAGATCCCGATACATTAGAAGACGAATTTTGGGGCAATTCTATCCTCGGTTCAAGTGCATATGCACTAGGCTTAAACACACGCCTAATACTACACCCATAAAAACTCATTTTCACTCATAAAATATGACTCAGATTCGATCAAAACAGAAGAGATTGAAGATTGGTTACATATTGACGAGTGTCAAATCGTTAAAAAGAGAAAAATCCTGATCACAGACTTTGTGGACGTGTGGATAGGTATATTGATTCTAGATTGGGCATGTGTTTGAAACCGAATTTTTGTTTAACAAATCACAATGTGGAGGAATCAGGCGCGTGTAATGCATATGGTTGTAATCTAACTGTGTGGAGCGGGAGTGCAGGCATTGTTTGCAGTTGACGAAAAATTCGTATATCTAACGTAAAGGATTTACCAAACAACCGGCAACTACTAACTTGTTTTTAATGGTTTTATTTAAATATCGCAAAGCCATCGTGGCTAATCACACATGAGTGAGACGCCAGCTTGCAATAGATGTTACTTATAGGATATCCGTTGTCTGAACTGAACAAACCAATTGAGTAAATTTGATCGTAAAATAGAATTACAATTTGGAAAACTAATACAACCATGTGAAAGTCTATATATGATTTTTGTGACAATTTTTTCAGCGGACTCAATCAAAATCACCAAATTACTATTAATTATATAATTTATATTTTTATCTTTTTCCCATCACGGTAATGTATTTGTTCACAAGGTAACTTCGGTGATCAAAACGTGATGATAAAAACGTGGAATCCAGAATATAGGAGTCCCGGGACTGATTTTGAAAACGAGTTCAACATTTTGAAAAGGCTGACTCACAAAAACATTGTGAAATTGTATGGCTCGGTTATCGGTAAGCAAACAACAAATATTATTCAGTAATAGTAGGCCTTCGAAATCATTTCACATCATTACCGAAACTTTGAGTTGAACTAATTACATGACGACTATTAGAAATTCATTGTAGGCTGTCACTTTTTTTTAAACTTTGTAATAGTAAAGCTATGACAAATGAATTTTAATAGTATTGCAAAATAAATATTGTACAATATAACGCTGCATACCATACCTTTTGATAGTATTGTATAATTATTGTGACTAAATGACTATTGCGGTATATAACGCTTCAACCCTGATTGATATGAGATTTATTCTCTGATTCAGAGAAGAAAATATTGGTAATTGAGTATACGGAGCACGGCACTTTGGTAGATTTTCTCATGTATGGCGGAGGCCGCCATACCACACTAAAAGATCAAATACGCATGGCTGCTCAGGTATGTTGCATTTTTTACGACACGAGTGTACAAGTTAGACATTTACAATATTGGGATAATATATTGGGTATTATGAGTAAATTTTAAATTTTATTACCAAACTTTAAAATTTAAGTGGGGTGTTTCACTGTTCACTCCCTATAGGGGCGGGATCACTGCGATCGAGAACTAGTTTTTTCTCGCAGAATTCAACGTACAGTGCGAAAACGCGTCATGTTGCAAGGATCGGTGCTGACGAGACGTTGAATGTGATTAAAAATGCGCGCAATAAAGTGACTCTCGGATCTTCGTGCCGCGGCAGCAAATGGAAAGTGTCCACAAATTAAAAATGAAAAACGCAGCATATATTTTGTTTTGGGAGCTCAGCGATACATAAAAAAATGTTGTCTTCACGCATTTTACACGCTGTAAATCGCACGCATTTTGCTTAGTTACCATCGGAAACGATAGGTAGGCCAAGGCTACTCAACTATTTTCACCAAAGATCCGTATACAAAACTACAAATTACCGGGATCCGGGCTTTCTAGAGAATGTATATCACAGTGCGCCTAAATAAATATCAGTGCTTCTAACTATAAGACTTGAAACAGAAAAGCATTTTGTGGAAAATTGGGTAACCGCAAAAATTTCAACATTCATAATGCGCCTTGTAGTTCCCAGTTGGTGATTTTTCGCAAATCATAGGACAGCACCTTCCCATTTTTATTACGGCGCCACAGTTTAAGTCATATAATAGAAAAAAACTTCACATATCCAAAGTTAATTAATGGGCCAGCGTTTCAACATATAGAATGAGGTGCGGTCCGAAAACTCGAAAGCCACCGATTCGGACCGCGGTCCGCCACTTGAGTTCCCTGCCATAGGCGATGAAGATGAAAATCCCTTCGCGCTATCAGCGCTAGTAATGTCCCCTTTGGTAAATTTTCGAGTTCAAAAGAGCCTCATTAACAAATTGACTACCACTAATGTATTCCGGATTACGATGAATTTTAGTCTAATCTATGTTCATTGCATTCTACCTAAGTAAATTCCTTCGCTATGTAGTTGGGATAAAATCGTTATGAATTAACATAGCCGCTCGCTTACGTTACTACTTCACAGATATTATGACCCAGCATTTTCAGGACATTATCGGCTGTCGATTGCATATTTCCCGCAGCAGACAAACATCATTTCAGATGAAAGTGTTCGGTACCTCAACGAGTGTTGCGGTGTGATTGTTGTGAAAGCTGCTGCAAAAAAAATTCGGCGCACCGGCTGATGTGCATTATTTCATAATTGTTACAATTTTGTCATATTCAAATGTCTGTTTTGGTATGCTAATACATCTTAACTTAAAGTCAATTCCTACTTCTAAATAAATGGCTACGACAGAGTTTTGTACATTTATTCATTACACATAATAATTTTCAACAGGTGGCTTCCGCCATGGTTTATTTGGAGCAACTGCAGTATGTTTTAGTCGATCTTCGCGCAGGTAGTGTACTCGTTGGAGAAAACATGTTGTGCAAGATATGTAATTTCAGTTTGGCAAAATATGTTGGAGATCTTGGGCAAATAGAAATGCCCGATGAGTTTAACTGCCCACATCGCCATGCTGCTCCTGAATGTCTATTCGAAGGATATGTCATGTCGCATAAGTCGGACGTGTGGGCATTTGGTGTTTTACTGATTGAACTAGTGACAAAGGGACAACATTTATATCCTGGTTAGAAAATCTATATATTTTCAGCAAAATTATGTGAGAATTGAGTTCGAACAAAATTTAGAATTATCACCTTTAAACACGTGTATTTTAGGGATTCTAGCAAACATATAATTTTGCTGCTAAATGAACTTTTTAAAATATTCCAAGTTAATTACAAGATAGAATTCTAGGATACAAAACAGATATATATATTCCTGGAGACACATATATGAAAACGATATTCTGTATTGCACACGCAGAGTAATGGTTGCAATGGTGCCGATTTTCAAACTACCTTATGCCCATTACCCGGCTCCAAACTATTTAATTAAATTTTGTTCATGCTGATACTGAAGGACAACAGCCCTTGTCATACACAAATCAAATGCTGGTAAAATACTATACTTGATTCATACTGTTATGAATACACCTGGATCTATACCCTTTTCTCCGTTCGTTGTAGTACTTCGTAGTCCTTCAGCAAACGCGTCTTTTTTAAATTTATATTCACACATAAAAGTCCCATATCGAGGAGCGAGAACATATAAACCCGCGACGGCCCGATTACAAACTTTGCTTTTCGAATAAATCGCCTATAAACGTCCATTGCAGGAATGACACAAGATGAAATTATGAGCAAGATAGAAGAAGGCTTCAGAATACCACGTCCTTTATCATGTCCCGAGAAGCTATATGACGTCATTCTTATGTGCTGGGCCAGAGAACCGTTGATGAGACCAACCTTCATCTGGCTGGAGGTAAGAAGCAAATATGAAAGTGTTGTTATAAGCAAGTATGCAATATTTACATGCCACATTTGCGTGACTAGCCCAGCGCCATTTATTCTGGTGCCTACTATTCTAGCAATGCCTTAATGCTAATTGTAGAATCACAATTAATTCACAATTACGTAAATTCACTGCTGTTGTTTATGGCGTGTAATCCTAATACCGGGCAACCTTAACGCAGGTTCTGTTCGAATACTTTCCAAAGGCAGGGTACATTTAACAAATTCCAACAACTGCATCGGTAAAACTTATTCCTATAATCTGCGGAGTGAATATGCGAGCGACATTTTATTTGATATATTTTGCATGAAACGCTCAAGTGAACGTGGTGTGCCGCTAAAATGTTTCTAACCCATAGCCATGTGTTTTGCAACTTACAAATTCCATTTTTCTGCAAGCTAACCTGAAACAAGTGAACGTATTATTCGTTATGTATGATTCGTGAATCCAATAATAATGTTGGTAATATTTAAATTTCGAATCACAATAAATTCATATTCAATAATGACTAAACGAAAAATGTTCATTCTACATTGTATTTTCAGAATGTGTTAAAAAGATCCGACTTTGACGACAATGCCGGAGATGTTGATAAAAGTATGTGTTGGCGCATGACCTTGATTAAAACCTAATTATACACATAGGCTGTACGAGTAGGCCAACACCGAATACTTCTGACAACCGGGGTTGTACGCTGTATCCCTCAAAAGACGCGCACTATCAGCACAAGCTGTTTAGTTCTTTGTAGTCATACATTGCGTTGCAACTGAGCAGTGCGAAATAGTACGTTTTTTTTAAACTTATCAAAAATAAGTAGATGCACATGCACAAAATATGAGCAATATTGTAATAGTCAGCAAACCTAAACAGAATTTTTACGTCATACAACGAACACGTGCATCACTAAGGGTTATAATAAATAAACTAACAAACCTCTTCCGGTACCTAGCAGGAATATACAGACTAATCGCTCATTAGCTTTGAAACTCAAAATAACTTTTTCAACCCAATGCCAAAACAACACACCCATCGGAAACTTGTGGCATGTGGTCCACTGACGTCACTTCCGCAGAGTAATTGTGGTGCATGACCATGTAATTCGATAAGGATAAACTCTTCCATAGCGCCAACTAGCGATAAAAAATACCTACTATTCTACAAGATGCTATATCCCACAAGAAAAAAACTGCATGGCTGTCATTGATTTTCATTTATAAATATATTTTATTTTCCATAGTAACAAAGAGAGACGAGGTATGGGTTCCTGGTAACGAAAATCAAATTTTTAAAGATAGCAGAGTCAGTGACACGGAATTTGCAAAAATATGGAAAGGTAAGTTGAGATATAAATATACGTCATTCAATAATCATCGATAGTTACTGCTTATATGATACGAAACTGGCATCTGTTGTGAACAGTTTATAATTTTCATTTCAGAAGTTTTACTTTGTTTTTTAAAACGAAGAAATGTAGGTTTTGACAAATGACAAAAGTTCATGCATCGTGAAACTAAGACACAGTTTTGGACAAAATTATCAATGAGTTATTTTAGTTCACGCCTATAGATATTTGTTCCCCTTTTCATTATCAAATAGAAACTTTACCCCTTACCACGTGGATTTCTTAAATCATTAAGATCTACGCTTGTTGTTTACTATTTTCTAATTGATATATCAAATGATAAATTTTGAATAGAGCATAGAGTTTACGAATAGTTGTAATTTACAGGCAAATTTGGTTCACAAAAAGTGATTATAAAAATCTGGAAGACAGAAGCCGAGCGTGAAGCAAAAAGTTTTTTGAATGAGTTCAATACGATAAAGAAGCTTTCTCATAAAAACATTGTGAATTTATGTGGTGCCGTTACAGGTAATTGCAATGCGTAGGCAATCGTAGACATACCATTTTACTGCATATAAAAGCAATGACCCAAATGTGGTTTGCGTTTTGATTTGAAAATAAGGATGTTTATAATAATAATTTTAAATACATTTTTCTAATCTAAAAATGCGCTCTTTCCCCTATAAAAACCTGGTCAACCATTTTAAAAACCATTTTACAAAAAGAAATCAAATTTGAACAGTTAATACAAAATCGCTGTACAATGCTTGACGCAAGGCACAATTGCACTTCAAATTTAAGTCATTGAGATCCTAAGCGAGTGGGAAAAATCGAATACTTTTTATCGAATACTGAATATTTTTAATATAAAATCGGAGTCAAGAACGTGAGGTTGGGAGGTCGATACTCTCTTCGAAAATTAATAATAACACTACAGCAAAGTTGGTAACAAAACGTTTTTTCACTTGTTTTTGTCTTCGCGATCGTTTCGACTGTCGGCATTTTAATTCCCGCCCTTTCTGCTTTTTCACGAGTATTAAATTTCCCGATTTCGTAAACGTAATTTTAACTCTTAATTTCCGATAATCAATGTGATGTTGAGGTCACGCATAAAAGGACTAATAACATGTCACGTGCGTTGAATTTATGAATTTTTTTAAATACCTCATCTGGCTTTTTAAATTTGCAAAGCAATGTTGCTCTTTTTGCACATGAGGGATGGAAACGATATGATAGGTACAATAAACACCGCGAATAAATAAAGTAAATTCCTACAACTGGTCATGAAGCCCATGATATATATATTTCCTGGTTTACAGCGTGTAGATTCGTTTGCCCAAAATCTGTTCACAGAATATTTCAATTCTAAACATTTTAGTAATCATTACAGCGTGAAGCAGTTTTATGTATATAACTGGTTTTGTTTCATTTATGCAGATAAAAAGATATTGCTTCTAGAGTATATGAAATATGGTACTTTGTTGGACTTTCTAAAAAATGGTGATGGCCGAAATTTCACGATTAAAGAACTAATTGGCATGGCTACTCAGGTATGTTCTTAATAATTAATTAATAACAAACTATGCACAAAGTGGCTAAACATCTGACCTGAAAATATCGTAATGAAGATCAGCTCATTGAATCTGTAAATAAGCGTTACTAATTTCCCAATCCCAATGCCTCACTGTCTTAAACCCGATCCTATTTTAGCATATATCGGTTGTAAAATGTTTATATATTTTACCTTTAATTCAACTTACAGCTTGGGTACAATGCATTAAATTCCAGATACCAGCTTTCCTAATCGCGAATAAATGAAGCCCCCTAAATAACCAGAATGGAATAAAATATAAATACTCTATTAACAGATTGCATGCGGAATGGCCTATTTGGAACAAAAACAATATGTTTTTATAGATCTTCGTGCAGAATCTGTTTCAGTCGGGGAAAAGTTGTCGTGTAAACTGTTTGATTTCAGTTTTGCACAATATGTTGGAAACGATGGAAAGTGGAATGTACCTGTAGGAAGTAAATTTCCAATAAAGTGGACGGCGCCAGAAGCTTATGTAAACGGGGATTTTACACATAAGTCAGATGTTTGGAGTTTTGGTGTCTTTCTGACTGAGTTAGTGACGAAAGGGTGCATACCATATCCGAGTAAGCATACCATGTCATGTAAAAAATTGTAAAAAGATGAAACTTACGTCATTTCCTAAATTAGTGGAAATTGAGTTATTTAGTGATTTCCAGTCATTCAATATATATGTATCGAACTTGGTTTTTGACGACGACTTTATTATCGACCTATGTGATTTCGCACAACAAATCGCCAGCAAAACTAGATGCGTATTGCAAATTCACATTTTCGTATTTTATATAATTCTTTTCACGCTAGCTATTGTGGGGAAAAACATTTTGGACATCACTCGCATAGATAAGTCATGATCTCCGTACAAAAATGTCAGACATACGACAAAATTTTCGTGTTATCACAGTTCTGCCTCTTTTTTGCTGTATAAACTAACGTTAAATGTTTGGAAAACTATAATTATATACTTCATTTAGGAATGTTGAATAGAGAAGTTATAAAAAAGATCGAGAAAGGGTATCGAATGCCACGTCCAGCTTCATGTCCTGAACAACTTTACGGGATCATGCTCAAGTGCTGGGACGACGATTATGCAAAGAGGCCAGCGTTCGAATATCTCGAGGTAAAAAACCCACAAATAAATGAATTGAGAAACGCCGCGGTTTTTAACTAATGACATAAAGCCATAGAGTCATAATAAGATAGGAATATATATATATATTCATAACACGTTTTACCAGGATGCAACTAGTCATTATAAAAATAACAGCTCCTCACATATGTCCTCACTGTCATTATAATTTTATAATTATTTTATTATATGCTTCAATTTTTTATTGAATCTATTTTAAAGATAGTCGCTAATTACACAATTTCCAACCAAAATCAATTACACTATGTTCCGGTTTTTACATATTAGTAACTAGAACTGTATATTAATCCACTAAAATTTACTCGTTCCCTCGGCCTCCTATAGCCACGCCTATTTGGATGGACAATGTAACAATTTCGTGACCCCGGTGTGTGCCTATGAAATGTTGTGAATCCTGGTGATTTTTTGGTTCGGTTTTGTGAATTGTAAGCGTAATTGAAAGGCCGATAGAACTTCGGAGGGCAATATTATTTCTATGAAAAAGGAAAAGTTTGACAAATTACATATAACTGACTGTCTGATTGGCAAGTGGCAACGACATTACACAAATGTCTGATTATTAGGGCTGGGAATGGTTAATCGATTAACCGATTTTAGATGGTTAACGGTTACGAGTTATTTTAACCGTTAACTGACATCTCAGGTATACAAATCATCTTTATAATGTACAATTTCTTCAAAAATGATTTTGTCATCGCAAATTTATCTTCTGTGGCGTTTAATTCAAAAGAATATCACTGAGTGTATTGGTAAGAACCAAATAAATGGGAAAAATGATTGAAGCACTAAGATTGCTGATTATGAAAATTTGACAATGGTAAATTCAGAATCAGTTTCCGGTAAAAAAATATTGTTCACGATTTTATTGCAAAATCGTCTATTCCATGTGCGCAGTTGATGCTGTTTTTCTTTGTGATATCTTAAAGTAGGATTTGCAAATCAAGCATTGAAAATGTGTAACATAAATGAAATTTAATGACGGAATCTGCTTTACTAAAATACTTCATACGTCCGAAGTACGCTGCATATCTCTTGTAGAAGGTCGATCATGAAACTATTTCGATTCGTGAATAATTTTGAGAGACACCGGGATAAGATCACGCGAAATTGTTTTGTAACCATTGTGACGTAATAAGCTGAAATTATAAATTATTACGTCAAACGTCACGCTGTGTTTAACCGGTTATTTTTGCCCGGTTAACTGTTAAAGTGTTTTCCCTGAAATTCCCAGCCCTATTGTTTATAGAATAGAAGTCCCCTAACCTGGGGTGGACAAAGCTTCCAAGCTGCTTAATTCACAAGGTGAACAAAATATTTACAATAAATATTGACAATACAATAAAAATTGAAAAAATAAATAAATGAAGTACAGGTTTTGCATAATAAGTTAAGAACAATTATAATAAATCATAAAAGCATTTTATTATTCGGCCGAATATTATATTTTAGGATTTTCTGAAAAATTATGAATTCGACAACGAATCTGGACACATTGGCAACAACGACGGGGTCAGCACCAGTGTTGAAACGACAGGTCAGCTACAATAATATTTCCGATAAACATATTGATAAATGAACTAATTGTGAGCGTAACTTTCGAACATGCACTTTTAACATATTCATTTTAAATTTAGGCTTCAAAATGTCACACCTTCCTATTTATGAGATATTTCACACCCCTAAGAATTAGGTTTCACGCGTGCATCCACGAATGCACGTAATGAGTTTTTCAAAATGTTCTTGCGAATTCTGCAGTCTAATTTACCTAGATTTTTTTTCACTCCCCAAAAACGCCAAATCAGCCTTAATAGGTTGCATATTGAAATTAATAGACTAATATCTCACTCTTAAGAATTCCTATATTCTCATATACACAGAATCAATTGCTAAAGAAAAGAAATCATTTTTTCCCAAATGAGAAGGTCTCCGTTATAACACCACTCGTTAAAAGAACCGAATTTTTCAGTCGATACTAATTTTTCTGTCGCGTGAAATATTCATTCATGGTTAATGCGAGCATTCAATACGTCTTGTTAATCTATTACATTTTTTTGGTAAAATCTATTACATCTTGTTTGCATACTGCCAAGCACAAAACTTTTGCAACATTTGCAAGCGAAAGTCTCTGCAATTAATAAAGCCATGACAAAGTAATACCACTGAAAAAGACCCCGGCGATTCGTTTGTAACGTACACATCGTACATCCTAAAAGACATTCACTTTCACGTATGGGTAGGATAAAACGTAAACTCAGCGGTAAAGTCATTATTTTGACTGGACATATATAAATGACCACAGGAAGTTCCCTAAATATGAGATAAAGATAGACTTCCACACCACACAGACAGCGACAGTGAAACTCCTGTTTTAAATACTGTTACTCGAACAATTTTAAATTATATCGATGGCCGCATATGTAAATCTTTTATCATAGGTTCACCTGATGCACAAACCGCTACTCCCGCGGCAAAAAAAAAAGCACGAGCACTTTTCGACTACGACAAAAGTGAGTCTTGCAGTTTTTCCATAGAAGTTAAGAAAAAATTTTTTTTTTCAAAAAGTTTTTTTTTTATATCATCATTTTGAATAATCTCTCCCAATGTAGAAAGCCTAGAGAATTCCTATCATATCACTAACAAGATTGGCGACTTCTACCGAAACAATTACCATAAGATTTCATTTTTATGTTAAAAATATTTACAGTTTTCTCGAACTACATATACTATTTTTACTAAGGCTTTTGACTCATGTTTTAGACCCCATATATAAAAATAGGGTGCTCCAGAAGTATGTGCACCGAGATGTCGAAAAACCTGAACATAGTATGTGTACCGGGTTAGGGTTCAGGTTGTGCGTCTTTTTTTAATGTACCTACTACGAGAGCGCCGATGCCATCCATCTACGTTTCTATTGCGGAGGTCGCGGCCAGTAACGATCTATACATGTTATGTTAAAATGAAATCTCTCTCAAGGAAACCTATTATTACCCCACAATCATATTATTATTATCAAATTATATTGGCACAAACTGTAGGAAGCAGCAGTTCTATCCGTGTTTTATTTACTTTTAGAATACGATAACGAAATAAGCTTTCGGGATGGAGACATCATCACAAATATTGAGTTTCCAATTGAACAATGGTGGATGGGAACCTGCAACGGGCAACGAGGCTTAATTCCTTGTAATTACGTAAAGTTGATTGACTAAGAATCGTGTATTCAGAGATTCTGCCAAATTTCGACTTTAGATATCAATCATTCATGACCCATTCATAATTGGGCGTAAACCTCAAGACTAGAAATCTAACTCCAAGATCAATTAATAAAGAGTTTCAAAACAATTCCGATTTGAGTTTTATTATTTCACGGAGATTTCAAGGTACTCCCGTAGTATGTGTACCAGGTTAGGACTGACAATTATTTGATTCCGATTTTCTTATTTTAGTTCTATTATGAGTCGGGGACTGTCAGTGTTAGCCAAATGAATATATCCCCTGCCCCTAGGTTTCAGTCCCTTTACACAACTTGATGAAAAGTAGGCGAACAAAATTAGTTACCTCCATATTAGTACACACATTACTGGAGCACCGATTTCAATAATATGAAAATAAATTATATCTGTCCTCATCTCATGCGTATCGCCTTTAACAATGAACGCCGGAAACGCATTCGTCAACATGTCTTCTCGTCGGTGAATAATATTCTGTCAATTTAATTGTCCCAATTGGCACATATTTTATAATATCTGACACAATACTTTACATGAGTGATTTGGGTGCAATATTTAGGCCAATTTGGTTTCACCAGATTTAATTTATACATATTTTTATACGACGCTTATTCTCCCGGTTTCTCAGAACAAGGCCATATACAAGAAGTCTCTGATATATATAACAATTTGTTATACCTTGCGAGAGTACCAAAATCTTTTCGGTTCGGCATTGCCTACCCACTTCATAACACCTGGGCGTGGTGTAAGTATGATTTTTTAACCCGATATATGTAATCTGCGATGCTAACAAACTAAGTCTACGCTTTATCCATCGCCTTTATTTTTATAACTATTGTTGGACGCACGGTTGGTTTATTTCTCGTCTTATACATGTCAAATGTCCATTTTTCAAATTAAAACGTTAAAACCCTTACGAGGAGAACCATGCTCGATTATCGATCAACGGTTATTCTGTAGAGTGCAGCATTCTAATGTATTATCTCTGTAGAGAATCTTTGATAATTCGTTTCTGGAAAATTTGTTGCGATATTTAGCTGTCGTATATAATAATATTTTGATTAATTCATATGTATAAAAATTTATGATCTTGTTATTTAATGTTGTTCTTTGATTGCTTATAATAATAATGAACAAAGCTGATTGAATAAAACGGGTACACAAGCAGTGTAATACGGCATTGGTAGTAATCTTCGACATAACACGTTGGTCACCATACGTACGTACGTACGTTTGATAATTTTGTTTGAGATTTCTTTCGTGTATTTATATGAACATTAAATCACGACTTATGCTTTACAACTAATATTCTCATCATATTTAATTTTGAATACGTATTTCATGTATATAATTGAATGTGCGAGTAAGTTTTTTGATTGGTTTTATTGTACATAAAGTTTGATGATTTTTTTCAGTTGAATGTTTTTCTTTATTTGCTCATAATAAAAACCTAATAAACAAGACATATTAAATGTATGGTTAATAAAGTGTAAGGTTTTGAACTATGAAACAGACGTGTGTCAGTGTCGTGGATTGGGCATAAACTTAATATTTCAGAAAGGTAGATGGTGGGTTTTTATGATGAATCCAATAATACGGAATTATTCATTTTAAGATGGACTCAAATTAGAATGAAAACGTGCTGATTGTTGAACTCAATTTCAAAAAATCATTCGGGTTTGGAATGAACTCAAAATAGTATGGAAACAATGTTTCAGGCGTTCAATTCAAATTTGAGGAATCAGTCAAAAATAGGTATAGGTGATGGAAATCCAATTTTAGTGTTAAATGAGATTGGTCCAATATTAGCTTTATGCTTGTGAAATATATATACAATCAAGAAATATGACGTCGTCACCCAATTTATTTTTATAGATATCGTGAATTGTATACCCCAATCAGGCATATATATATAAATTCGTATAAAGTGGCATTAGTATATTATTAGCTTTCATTCAAACATTGCGCTTGTCAAACGAAATTTCTCTGCTGAGTTTTTTCCAATCATTCAATCAACATCATCTCTGCCCACTCGTTTCCTTGTCAATGTTGAACCTGAAATAATGTAATTTATTAATTTAAGGCTTGTGTCAACTATTACCTAATGAGATATTTAACAAAAAAATAAACATATTTCTATACGGGTGCCACACGTCGCCGCCAGACAGATACGGCTTATTCGAACAGCCAAATTCAAAAAATAACGCGCGGCGCGGCGGTGTTGCTCAGCGGGCTAAGCGTTAGGAATACGCTCGCCACCGCACCTCTAATTACTCTGCGTGGGTTCGCAGGTTCGAATCCCATGCAGGGATGGTTATGTGCGAGAGGATTGCTGGACTCCTCGCCGTCGTTGAATGGTTCACGTAACCGCTGGTCGGTTACGGCTTCCTCCACCACCAAGTCCATGCTTCCGAAAACAAACAATACAGTAAAACTAATCCCATACCCGACTTGGAATGGTAACCGGACGAGAGGCCGTGGTTCGCCATATGGATAAGCCGTCTTATCGGCTTTCCTCTCCCCCGGGATAAATATGTAAATCCTATCCTATCCTAACTAACCACTATTTACCTATTTCAAAAAAGCCCCCATTTTAAAATACATTAATTATAACTGTGACTGCAAGCCCCACGTTCAAGAGACTGTTTGGGCTTTCAAATCGGCACTGTTACAGATAGATAGATCAACCCCGTGTAACTCAGGAAATTTGGTCCCGGTGTTGGATGCGCCGTGACGCTCGACTTGGTTCTGACAGATTATTGCTTCGAAAATCATCGTGCGACGTTCTGCGTTTTTCTGTGTTCTGACGGCGCTGTCTCGCGTCAAGATTAAGTGAGTGACTTATAAATATTTAAGTTAGTTGTGCACATGGAATATCGCACGATATACTTGACTATAGAACTGATATAATGCAGATTACAAAACAAAATAGAAGAGCAATCAATTGAGTGGGAAGGCCCTAGGACCGGTCCAGCACTCGAAAGCACATTGACAGTATGATTTTAAATTTACTTTACGGATCTCATGAGTAGATGTAGTAGCGAGCCGCTTTGTGCTCCGATTGTTCAGGACAAAAAAGAGTAAGTCGTAAATGTTCTTATAGGTACCCAATACAGTAATGATTTGTCAAGGAAAGTAAATTTTGATAAGAGATATGTATATTTTCAGGAAGGAAAGGATCATAAAAAAGTCTGAAAGTTGCAGTGTGAAGATTTATACTGTGTGATCAAAGCAGTAAGCAAGAATATAAATTGACTGATGGGTGATGCTTTATCTCAAAAATCAGAATTAACTTTTAGGGATAAATTCGTTATTTCAGGTAAAATTCATTAAAAAGGCTGGAAATTGCTAATTTCTCCAAATTCATGAATTGGATCGATATAGGGCCCGTTGTAATTAAATATAATTGGATCGATGAAACCAGTTGCAAATTAGTATTCAAACCCGAATCGAGAACCCTTATGGAATCGATATCACCATACGTACATACGTATAAATAAGGTTTCAATCGGATATTTAGGGGTCTGGTATTTGAGGAGAGGTATTAAAAGGTCTTGTATTAGGAGTCGAATCGTCTTGATAAGTGTCGTCTCGTCTCTCGATGTTCTAATGTTGTCTTAATCGTTTGTTCTTCTTGTATATTTACAACATGAAAATACATCAACAACGTTCAATATGTTCTTTGTATGCTAAAAAATTACACCATATCAATGGAAATATTTGATGGAGCAACTAAAACTGTCAGCAAAAAAAGAAATGTGGTGAGCGATACCACCATGAAATTGTGACGTCTGTATGAAAAACACAAATTAAACACACATATTTTTCAACTTCCATTAATTAGTGTTTTATGATGGAGTTCTACTGATCTTGATAATTTTTTCCCAGACTCATTCTGTCATTGTATACGAAGTCACCAGCTGCATATTACAACTTGAGAGGTGTTTTACATTTCCATGATAATCCCCATTGCTTGATTCAGGCTGGTACTAATAACTTTTTTCACATAGGTTGGATACCTATTATTGTCCTTATCTAAACATGGCTTCAACATATATATATTTATAATTTTAGATGTGCCAAAAAAGTTATTTATAAGTTCGAGTTATTTTGTCGAGTGTTTTTAAATTATTGTTGTGTGATCAACAGCAATAACTTTTTTGCTACTGCAAAATCCACCACATTTATTAATTGCATTATTATTTCTACTGGAACCGTTACATTTTATTAATTCCAATTTGTTTTGTGGAGTATTCACATTTTTGTTTCAAATAATACTTTGTCAAAGTGGCTGTTATACTTATATATATAAACACATACATGCTTATATGGTAGACAAGGTTCAATTGTTGTGGGCAATTTATTTCAAAATACCGTAACCAAAATATAGATTTTTGCAGACGTCTCGAAACTCACTTTTGAAAAATGATTTGCTGTCACCAGATGGTGTTTTGGCGTGGAAACACATCTAGAGGGAATTTATGAAGATTTGTCTAAAAAACATTCAAAACAACCATGTAAACTAACAAACCAACATGTTTAACTTAAAACTTGATAAAAATGTCTGTTAAATATTAAGCACAGGTATAGCACAAAGAGTTGTTTTGGATATTAATTCATTTGTATTTTCTTATTTGATCTATCTCCTATTGAGCACTTAAATACTTGGATCATGATTATTATTTCTAAAATTACCAACAGTATTCAGGTCATTTATAACAGATGAACTGGGGAAATTTTTCTTTGTAGTGATACGACCGCGTCTATAACCCTGTTCTACGATTCTATTTGCCCATATTTGTTCTTGCCGCTTGGGTCACTGGCGAGCGGTTGAGTGTCTTTCCTGCCTGGCGGGTTTGTCGGAGTGCCGGCAGTGTGGAATTTTCTTTGTGCTTGGGTTGTTGTTGTGGTGTTTTGGTGCTGTTGATCTGTGTGGTTCTTGTTGTGGACTGTTGGTGGTGCTGCGGGTTGGCTGTTTCCCCAGTTTGGCATGGCTCTGTTCACTGGTTGCCTTGTGTTTGGCGTTTCCGTGACTGGTCTGTTTTCGCGGTTTGGTTCCAGTGTGATATCCGTGTTTCTGTGTGTGTTGCCAGGTGTATTGGGTGTTTGTCGGTGGGATGGGATTGGTGTTGTGTCTTTGGTGTCATGCTGGTTGTTCTTATGTGTTTCTGGGTGTGTTTTGCATGGTTTTTGTG